GATCGTTAATCTACAACAATTTCTGTATGAAAAAAAACTTAATATGAGAGTTGTTAATTGCCTGTTTCTGTCCAAGGATTTTTGTTTGTTTGTTTTTGTTTATGTTTATACTACTGTATGTGTACAAACATGTATTTTTAAGAAACATAATGGCAGCAGTTAAAGTCAAAGGAGGCCTGGTCTACATACCAGTGGCCAAACATGGCACGTGAGCCTTATGTTGTCCACGAGCTGAGACTGATTCATCAACTGACCGTCATGAGTTGGTTTGTCGATTAAAAAGGAGGCAGTTGTCCAACAGTTCTCACGTACTCTTTCACACACACACACACACACAGAGAGAGAGAGAGAGGAGCAGTGTGCACAGTGACGCGCTTGAAGTCCTGCCTCCTGCGTTTCACATGATCAGTTGATCTGAGCTTTCTTTCACAGAGCGACGACAGACAGGAATTCTTGGAGCAGCAGCAGTAACAGCAGCAGCAGCAGCGATGTCTGAGCTCAGACACGGATCCTCCACGACGCGCTGGTTTTGCTCCGTGGTTCTGTGGATGACATTCATCCTCTGCTCCGCTGCGGTTCCCTGGACGCAGGAGAAGGTAAATCGGTGAATGAGACGATACTCTTATTATTATTTAGCTGCGTGTGTTGATTTCACCGACCGTCCAAAAAAAAAAAATCTCCAAATCTGACCATTACTGGACTTGACGATTTATTCTGATCAAACGTTACACTTGAAAATCAACTTTAATTTCAATTCCAGCTTTGTCGGAATCTGTGCCTCAGTTTTTCTACCTTTTTTTTTCCAAATACAACCACCTCCAGATTTCCATTTTCCATTTTTAATTCCCGGCAAAAATGATTTCCATAACTGCATCCAAAACGCTCCATCAGTCAGCAGCATTACTCCCCGACACTTGTGTAATCCTCCTGGGACACACCTGGGTATGCCTGTCCACTTTGGTCCCTCATTTCTGTTCGTCTTCTCCTCCTCTGGTTGCTATGGCAGCACGGTCATCGTGATTGATCCTTCAGTTGCAGGTTTTGGTATTTGTATGGCTTAATTGGACCCCGTTTGAACCAGCACAGAGCTGCCTGAGCCCCAGCCTTTTTCTTTTTTTTTTTTTTTTTTTTTTTGGAGGGCTGTATTTGGTCTGTGTGACCACATAATTACACCTCGTTCACTGAACACATGCCCCTCTGTGATTACAGGGCTGCTGCTTGACTCGGTTAATCGCGGTCCAACACATGCTGTGAGCACATGTTGTTGAAGATGATCGGTTTTTCTGATGAACTGACTGAATTAAGAACTTCCTAACTTGTCTAGGCACCACTTAAGTTTAACAGCAGCATTCTTATTATTTGTCTTTAAAAAAAAAACTACTCAACTACTTTGAGTCTTTAACTGCAGCACATGTTCCCCGATAAAATACAATATCGGTTTTACAGATTGTAATCCTGTTTAGAGGAAAATAGACGACACATCTGTTTTAAGAATTCATATTATATATACATATATATATATACATATATATATTCACTTTGGATAAAAGTGTCTGCTAAATGTAATGTAGTATATACATATATGTATGTGTATGTCCGTGTATA